CCACTCTCAACTCCATTCACCAATTCCCGTTCTCAGAGCTTCCGCGCGTCTCTCTCCCTGCTGAGCTGATTCAGACGCAGCAGCGGCGGCAGGAAACCCAAATCGAGGCTTCCAATGGCGCGAGCTCCAGCTTCCATGCTGAGGCTTTTCTGTTCCTGTTATAGCACCAGGATTGCATTCCCAGTTGGTTTCTCTCAGCCCAGTTCGTTCTTGGGTCAGCAGGATATATCTCCTCTTGCTTAGGATTCCTCACTCCGCACCATTCCTGGATTCTAAGCTGGGTCTCTCAGAGAGCCTCCGTAGCTGCCGCTATCTGTCCGCCATGTTCTCCCAGAAGGTTATTATTTTCTTTTGTCTAATTGTTGTGGCTGGAACCAGTACCATGTTGAATAGAAGAAATTGGTCACATTCTTGTTCTTGAGGGAAAGATTTAAGCCTTTTGTTACTGTTTTCTGTATTCATGCCTTATCCTTTTGAGAGAATGAATTTATAGAAATAATGTGAGACCTTGGATGATGTTATCTTTTTCCGGAGAAGGATTGCTGTTGCTTCTGCCATCTCCTAGAAGTTTGTGTAATGCAAGATTCCTTTAACCCAGGATTGGGGCTGGGGTTTCTGCACACTTGAACCAGAGGAAATGTTGGTTCATTCCCTTGCTTCTGTGCTCTGGCCATTGGGGCTCCCTCTCCAGGCAGGGGGCTGTTTTGTTCAGGACCCCGGCAGACCCAGGATTCATCTTTCTATCGCTGTGACATCCGCAGCTCTCTGGATTCCTTACCTCCTGGATCTTGACTTGCTGTTCCTCATTATCTCCAGAATTCCTTGATACTTTTAAGAAGATAATTTCAAAAATGTTTCTTTTGGCATCTAAGTTCCCTTTGGCAGAAGCAGCTAGCTATTCCTTAGGAGACAAGTTCTTCCTTTTTACTTCTCCAGAAGCAGAGTTCATGATATTCAGGTACAACTTCCTTCTTGCTTAGACAAGGCACAAAGGGACATGATTATTTCTTATCCACGCATGGAGATGTGCATGTCACAAAGAACAAAAGTCTGAATCAGATGCACGGTCAGTGAGACATCTGCAAACATTACTCATCTGCGCATGGTACAAGGAGACACACAACCTTCCTTAGAGCAAGAGCTCAGATGCTGTCTTGCTTTGAGAATGACGGTCTCAGACTGGGCAGATAGCTCAGGGGTAAAGCATTTCCTAGTGTGCTTATGGCCCTCAGTTCTGTCTCTGCCCCAAAAGAACAATGTCTTAATCCTGTCTGATCTAGAGAAGAAAATGCTGCCATATGTAGGTCGGGGCCCCCAGAACCTGCTATAATACTGTGTCCTATTATTAAAATTCATTTATAAGGGAAAAACTCCTTAAGGACCAAAGGCAGTAGTGAACTGTCTGAACAGAGCCAGATGGGTAAACGCACCCTCCCTCCCTTCCCTTCTTTTTTTCCTCTCCTTCCATGGGTCACTTCCACGGAATTAACTCACTTCAGCTCTCCTTACCTCCAAATTCCAGCTGTTCATCATGGTAACACGAGTTGCTACAGTGAACCTCCAGTTAACACAACAGGATTAAAAATTCTATAAAGCACCAGACCAAACCCGAATGGAGTCCTGCTAAAGCTGAGGCTTTGTCTGACTGAGATCAGTTGTTTATCTGACTGAGAAATCAGGAGAATAGCCATGTCCACAGATACGCCAACTTTTGTTCACATTGTAAGGTTTCCTCTGCTGTGACCTTTATGTAAAGTATTTTTTTTTTTTGAGACAAGGTCTTGCTATGCAGTGCAAGTTGGCCTTGAATTTACTATGTAGCTTATCTTGTCCTCAAATTCTCAGTGATCCTCCTGCCTCAGCCTCCCAAGTGCTGGGATTACAAATGTATATCACCATACCTGGCCTGGGAAACTCCTTTTAAGTGACCAGTCTCTTTGTTCACCATTTATACTTTTCTTTCCTTCCTTCTTTCTTTCTTTTTTCTCCTCCTCCTCCTCCTTTTCCTTCTTTGTCTTCTTTTTGGCTTCCCATTTGAGCCCAAGGAGCAGAATCTCTGGCTCTCTGTGGTTCTGAGGCTGCCTGATTCACAAATAATTCTGTGTTCAATCAAACTGTTAAACTTGTCTCGACGATTTCTTTTTCTACTGGACTTGATTTTTAAAACAGTAAAGCAAGTTTAACTTCCTAGTATCTCCCTCTGCCTCCCAACCAGCTTTCCCAGTGAAGAGAGAGCCTTCTCTGAATCCATCTTCACTGAAGTCTCCTGCCGCTGAGAACACTCTTTCTGTATTATTCATATTTTTTTGGAGTAACATTTAATTAAAAAGGGGGAGGCCACTGGAAGCTAACAGCTGGCTCCTGTGCATACCTAAATGCTCACCCACACCTAAACGTTTCCCAAGTCTACCAGTTCTGAGTGTCTCTGCCATCCTTCCTTAACTGAAGACACTGCCACCTCTTGCCGAGCTGACAGCAGCAGCTCCTGAGTTCTCCTCCTCCTGTGGGCCTTCAATCCATTCTCTGCTCTGTGAAATGCAAGCTGGTCTCCCATCTCTCATCTGTTTGTTTCTCTTCTTGGTGGGGGCACCATGTAGCATGTCCATACTGCTGGGCCCAGTGGCTCTTGGCCTTGGTGCAGTTATCTGCTGTGCTGCCAGGCCGTGGCACAGTTGAACAGGCCAAAAATAGCCCAGGTTCTCGCCCATGACTAGGAAAGAAGTGCCAAGCACACACCTCCTAGTCAGTAGCTATGTTGTCTATGGAAGACCACATGACAGTAGCAGGAGGGACCCCCATCATTCCAGCTTCCAGTATGCAAAGGGTCAGGTGCCTCTGAGCCCCAGATGCCTCCCATTCTGTCTCTCACCTGTGCCCATGATCTGCTGCCCCCGGCATCCTGACGTGAGTTTAACCATAGATAACCATTAGGGCTGTGTTGTTTATAGCTGAATGAAGGGAGAGGAGCGGTTCCCTCTGCCTATCTCTGTACCTTTCTCTATCTCTGAAGCACCCCCTGGAGACAGGAAGTCTCCCCAATACTGGAGAGTGCTCTGCTTTTGCTTGTCCTTATGTGCAGTGAGTATTTAGCATATTTTCAACTCTTAATATGCATCAATAAACTCTCCGGGATTTGTTATGCTGATTGTGTTTTCTTCTGGTTCCTCAAGGCGAGGATTTTGTATGCTTTGTCCAATGAGGTACCCCAAAAGGCCTAAGAGAGTGGCTCCCACTGTGAACCTCTGATGGAATGAATGAATGGGTGAACAATGCAGGTGAGGGCAATATAAATCTAATTTCTTGGCATTCCAGTATCGCGCTCCTGTCTCCTTCCAAGACCTTAAAATGTGCTGCCCTGTGAATTTCGAGATAGAAAATGCTTCCAGGAAATTGGAATTTGTAACCGAGTGCTCTAAACAATGCCCTACAGAGGTTCAGTAATTTCATAAAGAACTAGAGGAGGCAGCTTTTGGCCACAGGCCAGCGCTCTGAGGTCAGCCACTCCATCTGTGGGATTCCCCACTCCCTGTTCATCCCTTGGTCATCCTGTTAAATTGGAAAATAAATCCCAGCCCGGGTAAGGTGTTGGCTGATAAAGGCTTGAGCTATTGCCCCTTCAAGGGGAATTTGCATTTTAATAGAGACTCGTCAAGGCCCAAAGGAATCAATATCTCTAACTGTAAAATTTGAAGCACTGGCAATTGAAATATTCTAGGGTGACACTCTCCTGGTGTGTCTGATCCAATAGACACTTGGTGAGTCCGGCCAGGCGGCCACGGGAAGAATGCCCCCGGGAGATGACCTGCCATTTCAGGTCCTTTATTGTGTCTCACTTTGCCTTTTTTATGCGTCTGATCCCTTTAGCCTTCCGAGCAGGGGCAGGCCTCAAGATGTCAGTCCAGTTCCTTTCAACAGGGTTAGTCTCAAGGTTGTCTCAGCAACAGGGCTACGACGAAGCAATTAAGGCAACTGAAACGTCCAAGAAAATATTTTTTTGGTGTTCAGGACAACTAATATTTATTTAAAACCACGTTGGCAAGAGGGAATAGAGATGGCTTGATAGGTTATTAATGCTACTGTCTATTTAAATACGTTTTGTGCAGTTTCGTATGAAGTCCAAACTTTTGACTTGCATGAGAAGCCCTGCAAAGGAAAGGTTGATAGGAGACATCCCAAGGAGACATCCGTGTGACCCCAGAATCCTGAAGACGCCGAGTTCTCAGTGGTGGCCGGCAGCTTGGGGGAATCTGGGGCTGCGGAAAATCAGCCTCTAGGATCCGGGCTTCTGCGCTTCCAGACAGGCTCCGGCCCGAGCGGTGGGGGCCGAGCGCGGGAAGCCTCCACTCCGCGCCCCTGCCCGTGGCCTCCGCTTGCTCCACGCGGCCACCGCGCGCGCCCATCCCGGGCCAACTCCCACGCCCCTGCCGCGCGGCGGGGCTGCCGTGCTTGCCCTTGTCGCGCTGCGGTGCCCGCTCCCTCTCCGGATCCGCCGCCGCCGCCCCGGCAGGAGGCGCGAGCACCAGGCCCCGCACCTGCGCCCTCCCCGGCGCCCTCCCCGGCGCCCGCCCGCGTCCGGCTCCCGCTCCAGCCCGGCCCAGCACCAGCGGCGGGGCTCGCGCCCGGGGACGGCGGCTCGCGCCCGCGTTCGGGCCGGGGCGCGCGCGGGGCGGGCGGCGGGCGGCCCTGCGGAGCGGCGGCGGAGGCATGGGCGCGGGCAGCGGCGGGGGCTGCGGGCGCCCGGCTCCCCGCCCGCCCCAGCCCGCGCCCGGCGCGCGGCCGCCGCAGCCTCCGCGGCCGGCAGGGAGGCGGTGCCCGCGCCCGGCGCAACTTGCCCCGGACCGGCTGTGAGCGCGGCGGCGCGCGTCCGGAGCCGGCGGAGCGGGCAGCGTCCCGGCGCCCGGCGCGATGCCTCCGGCCGGGGGGCCCCGCGCCCCGCGCCCCGCCGCGCTGCCCCGCAGCCTGTCCCGCCTGCGCGAGTGCCCGGGCCGCTCCCGCATCGTGCTGGCGCTCGGGGCCACGCAGATGGCGCTCGGATGCCTCATCGTGGCCGTCAGCTTCGCCGCCCTGGCGCTCACCACCTCGGCCCGTGTCCGCCACTCCTGCCCGTTCTGGGCCGGCTTCTCGGTGAGTGCCCGCGGCCGCGGGGACCGGCGCGGGCGAGGGCGCGGGCGAGGGCGCGGGCCGGGCGCGCGGGGCGCTGCGGCGCTGGGACGCCGGGGTCGGGCGGCTGCAGCGCGGGGCGCAGCTGCCAAACTCCGGTCAGGAGAACTCCGGGGACCGCCTCGCCGCTCCCTTCCGGACTGCGCCGATCCCCGGAGTTACTTTTCTTGGAGGAGGCAACCGCCAGGCGTCCACCCTTCGCGGGGCCGGCGTGGGCAGCGATCCGGCGGCCACCAGCGTGTCCGCGCCTGGCCGGTGGGTCCCCGGGAACTCCGAGGGCAGGGATGATTTCACTGCTGCGTCCCACGCGGGAAGGAGGGAACCGAATCCACAGCCTAACTGTGCGTCCCCGCGTGCCTTGCCTTGGCGGGGTCTTTCTGGGGTACGGGGCGCGCGGCGCGGTGTGTCAGGTTAGGTTGGGGTTCAGTGCGTGCAGCTGGGACTGCCGACCCCCTCTGGCCACTCACTGACTTGGCTCGGGGAGCGGGCTGTCCGTCCCCAAACGGTCTGAGGAGGGAACAGGGACCCGCAGCTGAGGCCTGGCGGGGGTGGGGGGCGTCGGAGGGGGGGGGTGTTTTCTGACTTCTGGACCTCAAGGGTGAAAGCTTTTCAGGCTCTTGACAGTCAAATCAGAGAAGTCTGATTGGGTGACTAAATCTCTGTAGGAAAAAGACATCAGGAAATGTCCATTAAACAAGTGATTGTCCCCCGGAGGTTAGTTTTTGGCATTTTGTAGCATTTTCAAGAAAATTGCTTTTTTCCTGCATTAGTAAAGAACGGGCAAATGAGAATGGGGTAGATGCGGAGGAGTAGATAGAGGTACTTGTTAAGGGGAACTCTCTGCCTTATGGTTCTGATACACATCCTGTATGCTTACACTGCAACTGTGTGTTTAAATGCCACTTACAGAAACCCAAACCAAACCTTTGTAACCAGTGTTTGCTATTTGCTCTGGAGTTTTGAAATTAAAAAAGAAATTTGTCCAGCTTGGCTTTATTTATTTATTTGTTATGGTCTTTGTTCTCTTAAGTTCATTGCTTGGCTCCTAAAAGGAGATCCGAGCAAAACTGCCTTGGAAACACCGATCGATACAGGTGTGGTTGTTCATCCTAATGGGAATATTAATTTTCAAAGCTTCTTTCAGATTAGAGGACCAGTCTTGGAAGGCTGAACAGGAATGAGAGTGTGTGGTCACAGCTTGCAGTGTTCAAATCTATGAGTGGGTGGGCGGCAGGCACGCGGGAGCCGTGATTCAGAGGCTCCCCTATATATAGCCTGCGCACATCTGTTGCTCGATTTTTAGTATTATTTAATATGCATTGTTTTTATGTGTGGCGAGTGGGCACTGAGGTTTCAGTCTGCTGAACCAGCCTACAGGTGGCAGACTGGTGGAGGAGCATCACTTCCTGGCTCTTCCCAAAGCATCCCCTCTCTCCAGCCAGCCTTAGCACTACCAGGGATCTGTGAAGAGGCTGCCTTCCAATAACAAACCTGAAAATGGGAAACATTAATGGGCCACAATAGAAAAGCTAATTAGGAAAAGTGCCCCTTTACTGCACTTCCGTTTAAAGAGTTAAATATGCAAAATAGTTAATTTGGTTTCATTTTCAGTGCTACCCTCTTCAAGCACTATAAACTATCAGTTCTAGCTTTCTGTGATTCGTGGTTCAAAGTAATTCCAGAGAATTCTGCTGTGTGTACACAGCTTTCTGGGCTCTGGAGCCAAGCACAACCTGTGTGCATTTTAGAGGTTTTCAGGTAAAGTCTGCCCAGGCTCTAAATCCCACCTACCCAGCTTTGCATCTATTTTCTCATGTTTTTTTTTTTTTTTCAGTCTTCAAACTTAATCATCCATAAGCACTTTTAAAATTCATTCAGTACAGTATATCCTGTTTTCCACACATGGCCTTTGCAGAAAGAGTGGTTGGCCCCAGGTATGCCAGGACAGATTTGTGGAGTTAGCATTGTTATGAGGGGATAACATGGGCACCTTGCCTGTCAAATCCACGCATCTGCCTCTGTGGATTCAACCAACGGAAGATTGAAAATGTTCCGGAAAAAACCCTACATCTGTACTGAATATACACAGACTTCTCGGGGGAATCAGCCACTAAACAAGCAGTGTAACAACTGTTTGCACAGGCTTGTGTTGTGTTAGGTATGGTAACTCATCTAGAGATGATTTAAAGGATATGGGAGGATTCAGGATAAGTACTTATGCTCAGGATAAGTAACCTGAGCGTACTGCACAGTTTTACAGGAGGGATTTCAGTGTCCATGGGTGTTTGTTTTTGAGGGATTGGGGGCTCCCCGGAGCTGCATAAAGTTGCCCTCTGGGACTGGGCATTGGTGACACTCCCTGTCTTGTAAGACTCTTCCTTTAAGAAGGATATGCAGGGCGGCTGTTTTTTCACAGATGTCCATGCTGTGGGGCTGAGGGCTGTATTCCTTTTTCTTGACTCTGTTGAAAGCAGACCTATGTGCTGCTTAGCTGTCTCTGGTCATCCTGGCTGTCTCTGTGGATTGCACATGGTGAAAAACAGCTCTAGAAACTATCCTCCTCTCTTTAAAAAAATGACAGCCAAGGAAAACAATTTACTCTTACTGGGCACTTACTGTGTGCTGGACATGTAGTTAGTTTTTACGTGGTGTGCGCTGGGAATGACCTACATCGCCTGTTACACTGGATCCTTGGCGAAGCAGCTCATCATGGTGGGAGCACTGCTCACCTCATGGCCAGGGAGCAAAAAACAGGGGAAGAGACAGGGGCTGAGGTCCTACTGTCCTCTTCCAGGGCTCCCACGGGGCCTCTATCTTCCAATAGCACCACCATGAGGACTGAGAATGGAACAAGCTGAATCAGGGTGCGGGAATCAGGGCCGCTTAAGATCCAAGCTTCAACTGAGGCACTGGAGACAGGTGAGGGGGAGGCAGGCCTGGCTGGAGGACTACAGGCAGCACAGAGCAGCACAGCCCATTCCGTTCACTTGAGGACACCTTAAGATGGTTTCCTGGTGGGCCATTCTATGCACTGAGGCAGTGGCTCAGTTTCCCCGTGATCAGTGCCCAGAGTTGACCATCAGTACATATGAACAGTTTACAGGGTGCAGAGAGCTGGAGGAAGTCTTAAGAGCAGCTTCATTCTTTACTATAAAATTTTGTTAATGCTCAGGATATCGAACAAGTGCATTGTGAATTGCCTATTACATATGCCGATAAAGACAAAGGCATTGTGAGCTAACTGTAGGTGTGTGTGCATGTGTGGCTTTAAGAGCAACCCCATTGTATTTTTTCAGACTCCAAAAGCAATATATATTTGTCATAATAACTAAAAACAAAGAAATGTACAGAAACTTATTTTCTTCTGCACCAGTTCTCTACCCAAAGGTAACCAGTACTGCCAATATTATTTAATATGATCTCTCTGTTACATTTTCTTGTTGCTGAGACAAAATACCCAGTACCCAAAGTTAAAGGAGGAAAAGTGTGTTTAGCTCACAGTCTGTAGAGGTTTAAGTCTGTAGTTGGCTGGCTCCAGGGCAGCGTGGCTTGGCAGAGGGCCACTGCAGAGGAGAAAAGTTCATGCCAAAGTAGGACAGGCAGAAGGTAGCAAGCGAGTGACAAGCTGTGACCACAGCTCTGTCTGCCTCTTGTGTTTTACCCAGGCTACCCACCCTTAGGGAGACAGCCCTCATACCCTTAATGTTGGCACCGAACTGTCAAGCCCAGCATTACATCCTTGGTCCCAGCAGTGCAAACCATAGATCCAACCACCCCTGAAAAGCCCTCCCTATGACCACATGAGGCTGCTGGGGACATCTATATATAAACCATTATGTGATCCTTCTGTGCTTTCCTTTATAATCCCAAAAATGTCTTAGAGCTTATATGTATGGAATGTTTCTTTTCTTTTATAAAACATAAAAATGGGGCGACGCCACCTACATATTACTCTGTAACTCCTTTTTAAATGCAGTGTGTAATGAATATTCCCCACCATCTGTTACTATTTTTAACCCATTTTTATGGTTGCATAATAGTCCATAGAACGGATGATTACAATTTATTCAGTTTTTCTCCTGCTGAGGTTATGCTGGTTACAGCAGTTTTGTCTCTGAACAAACAGTGCTGCTAATACTAGGTACAGGTGTTTGCTTCTAAGGATCAATTCCCCAAGATGGAATTGCTAGTTATAGCTTAGAGCTGGAGTGGTCCCCAAAGTCCCATGTGTTGAAGGCTCGGTTCCCAGTCTGTGGTATTACTGAGCGGTGATGGAGCCTGTTGGGAAGAATTATGCCATTAGGACATGACCTTGAAGGAGACACTGGAAACCTCAGGCCCCCTCTCCCTCTACTTCCTGAGCTTGGTGTAGTAAGTGGTTTCCTTGGTCCTGTGCTTCTGCTGAGCTGTTCTGCTTCACCGCAGGCCCGAAAGCCACAGTGCCAATCAACCCATCAACTGAGTCCTCCGAAACCATAAGCCATAATAAACCTTTCCTTCTTGTAAATTGAGTTTCTCAGCCCTTTTATGATAGTGACAGCTGACAAATACATTAGTCAAAGTACCAATTTGGAAGTTCCAGTATGGAATTTTATTAGGTATTGCTGGATTAATTTCCACAAAAGATTATAGTGAGTCCTACCTACAGGAACATCACATGACAGTTCCATTTTCCCACCTATGCAGTGTTGGAGGTTAGCGGTCCTGAACATTTTTATTAATTTAATGAAAGAAAATAGTCATCTCATTGTTTTCACTTGATCTAAATGGTCATTGTTACTTTATTATGTGTTGCAGATTTTCTTTGTCTTAATTTTTGCTGTCTTTTGCCATATAGAGTTGTGTCTGGTTTCTTGTAACATCTTAGGATTTAGACTGGAATGCCATTTAATTTTATGTATTTGGAAGTGTTGAGTTTTGTCATATCAGCTCTTCCAGTCAGGAACATGATGAAGATATCTTCA